TTGCGATTACGAGTGGCCATGGTTCTACTTTGAACAAGCCGGAAAAATTTAAACCCAAAACAAAATTTAAAAAAAATAAATAAGGAAGTCTAGAGTTCGCCATGAAACACTAGAGTTTGAAATCATTCAATGGTGGATAGACTCCACTCCCAGTTCCCATTGACCGGGTTCAAGATGCGAATAATAGTTCTATCCACAATAGTCAAAGACTTCCGAATAATCCACACACCTGGGACTCCTTCGGTTGTCTGTTCCCTTTACTTAAGCCTTCTCTTTCGAGATGGCTTACGAATGGTTCTCATTCGATGGTACTAAACAGAAACTTATAACGAGTGCACTGCTATAGACCAAACTTAACTCGATAACACCCAACCAAAAACTCACAACAAAAACCAAAAACTCACAACAAAAATCTCTAAAGTCGGCATTTAACTCTACACCACTAGAGTTTAAGTCCGAATAAACGGAGGGTAAATTCCTAAGCCCCAATAAAAGAACAAAACATAATCACGATATCGACAATAAATCAAACAATAAAACTCATACCTTGAGCTGGCGCGGCGAGACGAAGCGAGTGGTCAATGGTCATTAAACACTTAATCACATATGAACCAGTCTACAGAAAAGCAAGACTGGCTCTGATACCAAATTGTAATGCCCCGTTTTATTTTTAAAGAATTTATCGAATTAATTAATAAAAATCAGAGTTTTTTTTTTTTTCAATTTAAAACATTTGTCGAGAAACGGGCGCTACTTACTAACAACAACAAACAACACACACCCAACAATTCAAGGAACCTACACAGGCTCGAGCTAACGATATAACAAATCCCATAAAACATAAGTCTCAAAAACCATTTCAAAAGGTCTAGCATTATTCAAGGTTCAACCAACTTAACATAGTTCGAAAAGTGATGGGGTCAACCGTCAGGCTAAGACGCCGACTCGGTCGAGAATCACGAAAGGACCAACAAATGTGGCTGATACTTCCTCTCTTCCCAGAACTTGAGGCGTACAACGCCTCTTTCCGTACTCAGAACCTCGTACGGTACCATCAAGATCGTCACTTATTAGCCATCGCTATAAGCGCCCTTCCGTATGGTAAGAAATTCCACACGACACACCCATCGAGTACACCAGACTCAAACCAGTCTCTCAAGGTCTCGACATCATGTCCTAAACGCATAACTATCTGAATTTCTACACGGTGCCAAGTTCAGTCTCGTGCCTGGTCACGTTGACAAATTGCCCACGATCCCGATGTGATCCGTGCGTTCATATCAAACGGGCCGCCACGGAATCTCATACAAAATGCTAACAAAGCAACAACCACACCACAAACTCAACACTGATACCTACAGAAGTCACGGTCCTGCTCGATACCGCTGACAAAGCCTCATTCCTTGCCGACACGAGTAACAACTCGTATGCGGTTTAGGAAGTATCGACTAGACATTCGAAAAAAACCACTATCGCAGAAACTGGCTCTCAAATAGGGATGCTCGGCGATCCCATTATAACAATCTAAAAGGACATAGCCAGTCCGAGGGTTAATGCATTATCATCCGAGAGATGTCATACACACTGGCGCTGCATAAGCGGGGCGCTGGGACGTGTGCCTACATCTGTTCGGAGAGCAGCTGCAAGGTCAAGGTTTCGGCCACACACTGGCTTGGGGAGCTCCTGCGTTCGGTGATGGTGGCTGCAGCTCGCGTGCGAGTTAACGATCGGACCTGCAGTGCCTCACGTCTCTCAGCACGGGCTCGCGTGCTTGACCACCACTTCGCGTGACTACACCCAGTCAGCGTCGACGTTCGGTTCGAGGTACAATAAGGATTACTCTAATTCAAGACTCGCACTATCTGAGGTAACCCGAAAGGAAAGGTTTTCACAAAACCGACAAACATTAGGATATAACAAAGACATCATCCCCCAGCATTTACGTATCGACAAACTCGGATGGTTCAGGGCTTCCAGATCATCACATCTAAAGAAAACGAATATCGGCATCCTCAGCTAGGAATCATCCTCAACTCAGCGGTCATTGTCGAATAATGAAGATGATCAGCTCGCATAACTCTTCCGACTAATAGTGTCGGCCGTCACGTCAGCTCTATCTCCGGTAGCTAATCGTGCCGGCAGTCATAAACGAGCTCAATTTCTACGCTGCTAAGATTTTCACGTTCCTGGATCTCTTTACAAAGCCTCCTTGGTTGATTCGTCACGATCACGCCTCGAACATATGACATCAACGATAAAAACACGATAGACCGATCTGGGTATGAATGGAGTACCCAGACCGAATGGCATCACCACAAACGAAAGAACGATATAAGACAAGCAGAAAAACGAACATACTCGTCTGAATCAATATACCAGGTTGCACGTCTTGAAGTGGAAACTTCAAACGAACCAAAAACAAGAGTTTTCAAAGGATAGCCAAAATTCAAAGAAATACAAAGGGCCACCCTCGAAAGAAGAAGAACGGGAGTTTCGAAGAATTCACGATGGACACAACACAAAAACGAAAACGGCTCTGCATCAGGCTCGACTACCCTCCTTAAATGATTTTCACGTACACCACTTTGGTTCAAAGTTAAAACAAATCGCGAAAGAAATTGAATTTTACAAGAAACTGAACAGAATTCTAATTAATTTTTAAAAATAGCTAAACACATTTAAAATTCCTGACAATTTTACAGCAACTACATATTCATCAAACACAGCTGCTCCTAAAATTTCAAGGAAATCGGACCTGTATTCGATTTATAATGAATTTTTCAATCTAAACAGCAATTATAACTTTCGAAAAATCATAACTATCAATCTACAAGTCCGATCGACACAAGGTCAGCGCCATTGTGTTCGTAAAAATCCGAGGTGCCTAAATCCACAGCAACTATTCACTTATGACGAGTTCTCGTTCGATTCGTACGAATCGACGAGTTTCACATAAAATCACGAATATATTTACACAACGAACAACTCAAACACGCATATAATAATTCAACGAACACGAAATACCAGCATGATCACGACACAATTCACGTATAATTAAAACGAGAAGTCGAGACTCGATACCGTTCTCGGGAAACGAGCGAGAAGGTTCGAACGATAGAAGACGGCTCGACGGGGCTCGACGGCTACGTGCGGCTCACCGAGGGAAGAGCTGCGGCAGTTTAGCGGGTATTTTCGGGATCGATAAAATCGCACGTTAATATATTCGGCTCTCGGGCCCGATTCAATCACACGAAAATAAATCCAACTCTCGGGCTCGGGTTCTCCGATTACTAATTTCGACAGTTCCAATCGATCGCACGATAAATAAACAAAACTCCGGACAATATAAATTAAATACGCACATTGATTTAAAATACTAATATTATTAATCAAAATATACAATTAGCAGTTAATTGGCAGTTAGACATATAACATTTAGACATTCAAATTGACAAGCAATAATTAATATATTATAATAATAATAATAATAATAATAATAATAATAATAATAATAACAATAATAATAATAATAATAATATTAATAATAATAATAATAATACTTCAAATAACCACAAATAAATGGGGCATTAAAACAATTTATTGGAAATTATATTATTTTGAGGCATAGCTTTATCTTATGTATTTGCATTTATTCTATATTTGCACATATGATAAAGTCCTTAGATAATTATTAGCTATGAGGAATGGTTGCGCATTTGATGGCAATCATGGAACATGTCTTTAGAGCTGTGATCTTAAATAAGTTCCAAGTCGATGAGTGTTTCGAGACAGGACATCGAATAACCCGGTAAGACTTGTGGATATGATGTATGTTCATCGGATGAGAATGTTGCATTCCATCAACATTAGCGTGTGGACGTGAATGCATATATGCGGGTGCTTGTTGGAGAACAAGTTCACTGAACATGGCCCGATGAAAATTCTTAACTGGAAGTTTTTAACTGTCGAATAAGAATTTTCATGTTGCAATAGTACATGATTGATCCTTTGACTTGAGGCACGATAGTAATCTTGTGCATGTTGTGCTTTACTTTGATTTATCCTTTGATTGTTGGACAATCACAAAAGGGATATTTAGGGTACTGTATTAATATGTACGGAGGTTTATCTGTGGCCAACAAAGAATTCGACACTTATGTGGATAAGTGAATTTCCTATGTTTTTCATAGTTTATGATTCAAAGACCTTGGCCAAGGCGAGATGAATATGGATTCATAAAGGAATCACTAAACTTGAAATGGAATCATAGTTTAAATCAATTGGGTTTCGACTTATAAATCCATGCCCTAGATTTAATCGGGAAATTAGTTGTCGAAAGGATTTTACATGTATGAAGTTACAATTGAAAAAGGTTAACTTGCCATTTCACTTAACACTAGATAATCATGCTACTTGTTACGTGTTCCCATGATTTGTGGGTTCTGGAAATTAAGGAGTTAATTTCAAGAATATAAATTAATTAGATTAATTTAAATTACAAACGAGTTCTAAACCCACTACTAGTGTTAATCGTGAACCTAAAAGGGTCACACCAAATTTTGGATGATGACAATTTTGAAATTAGTATTTCCAATAGTTGGATTAATTGACATTAATTAATTAAATAATTTGATTATTTAATTAAATCTAATTTGATTAGATGTCAATTAAGGGAATATAATAGATTAATCAATTGAATTGATTAATTAGGCTTTGGATATTAATTAAGTAATTATTGGAATTACTAAATTAATAGTTGGATTTTAAAGTTGGACTTTAAAATTCAAATCCAAATATTAATATGATTATATATTAAAAGCCTACATAAAGAGGAGATTTTTATTTTACATGGGAGATAAGATTTTTACCAATTAATTTATAAAGTTGGTTTCATAAATTATGGGTCATTATCTTGAACATATTTAAAAATGATAATGAGCCTTTTATTCAATATGATTTAATGTTTGTAGAAAAATGCTCCTTCCCCCGTTTATTTACCGCTTTTCTACTCCCTGCCGTCTTTTATCCACGTCAGAAACTGTATATTAATTATTAACACACAAAAAAAACTCTATTTTACAATCAATACCATCTCTCCTCTTAATTTGTTCTTCCCCAATTTTTCTAGCCCTAAGGAATCCGCTCTCACAAACTTTGTCCAATCCACAACAAATCGAATGAAACTTGACGGGCCTGAAAACCATATTCACGACCGCATAATTCGTGACGGTAAGAAGGCCTACTGGGCTAAGGAATTACACAGGAGGATTCAAAACCCTCCAATTTGCAGGGGAACCAGCGGACAGGGTGGGTCGGCCGAGAAAGAGGAATGCGAGGAGGAAGAAGGTAAGAGAGAGAGTTGGGGAGATTGACGCCATTGATGTAATGTGTGGGGAGCTTTTTCTGAGTTGAAATTAGGTACTTGCAAGGGGCTTATTATAGCAAATTGATGTAATGTGTTGGGACCTGTTTCGGCCAAAGAATTTCCCGTTTTCTCCGTTTATAGCCATCGTTTTTTCTCTGGTTTTTTGTCAAATTTTTTGCCAACCTGATTCCCCCACCTCAGTATCACGTGGGGAGCTTTTGTCTTTTGTTCTTTCCGCAGCCTCAAGTGGTGTTCTTGAGAGGTCAATTTATTCTATCCAGGGATTCACATCCAATGTCTCTATTATGGCCCGGTATACTTGTTCTCCCTTCACCCTTTTACAGCCTTGCAGGGACAGACACCTCAGAGTTGAATTCCTCTTCAAGCTCCGAGCATCGTGTGGCGACCTTGTTTTGGTTCCCTTCGCCGGCTGCCGATCAAGACCCGATCTCTACATCTACAACCCCATCACCAGACAGTACCGCCAGGTCCCAAAGTTTCACAGACAGTTTATAGTCTACGGGTATGGGCAGGGATAACACCTCTTTGGATTTGTTGTTGATGCGTCGACCGAAGTACCGCCACGGGGGGCCGACGAACAAAAGGTTTTGGTTTTAAAAGAAAATTTAAAAGTAAGAAATGAAGCTCCATTGGTTCACGAGAAATTGTTGGCTTCGAGTTTGGCAAGAATGAATCGACAATTAACGAGGGATCAATTCCCAGCTACCTCTCGATTTGAAAAGATCCAAAGGAATATGGTGATCAATAATTCGAAGTCGTTGGAGCTATTGTGGATTCTATTTATATTATTTTCTATGTTGCAAAGCTTTCGGTTAAATACATTGTAGGATCCTCTTGCTGATGGATTTTTAAGCTAAATGTGGTTTGTTGGTTAAGTCTTAGAAGTGAATATATGTGTATGATCATGGGTATCATAATGTAATCATGTTTGATTGGAATGGAAATAACAGTCTGGAGTCTGGTTACTCTGAATTGCATAACATTAACCTTTTGTATGTAGAACTAATGGATAAGAGAACCAAAAATGACTTTCAGATTTAGATTGAAGTGATCATTAGCCATATTTTTTTAAACACTTTGACATTGTTTTTTTATTAACACAAATTGTAACAACAGAATTACATGGCAGAAGGCAAAAGCCAAAAGCCTACATGAGAACATTCCCTTTAAAACACTCCTTATAGCTTAATTCCTTTTTTTTTTCTTGGCAGTGAACCTTTTTTAGAGCCAAAATCCAAGTTTTCATTTCTTAACAAGCAACACGAAATTCAAACAAACAAATCCAGGTTGTGCAACAAATATATTTCAACTTCAACAACAATGCCACACATCAACCAAAATCATTCATTAGATTAACAATCCAAAAAGGTGAAAAACAGTAAGTATAAATATCGAAATTCTCAATAGCAAAAAAAAAAAAAG